ACTTTTAATTATTTGTGTTCTTAGAAGAAAATGAAAAAGGTTTTGTCAGAAAAAAAAAAACGTTTTAGGTTCTGTCTTCACTAGAGTAGGCCGGCATGGCCAGGTGGTTAGGACGCTCGACTCGCAATCTGCGGGTCGCGGGTTCGAATCCCTGTCACACCAAACATGCTCGCCCTTTCAGCCGTGGGGGCGTTATAATGTGACAGTCAATCCCACTATTCGTTGGTAAAAGAGTAGCCTAAGAGTTGGTGGTGGGTGTTGATGACTAGCTGCCTTCCCTCTAGTTTTTATACCATAACCATGGTATATTTATGTACATAAAATACATGTTTATATGTCATACAAACCTTACGCTTTCACGTTAACCAATAAAATTAATTAATAAACGATATTTTTATACCATAACCATGGTATATTTATGTTTATCGTTTATTAATTATTGGAAATCTTAGATTAACACTCTGGTAATTCGTGGGAACATAAGATATTGGCCCGACATGGCCAGGAGGTTAGGGAGCTCGACTCGCAGTCAGCTCGAATCCCCGTCCCGTCAAACATGCTCGCCTTTTCAGCCGTGGGTGTGTTATAATGTGACGGTTAATCCCACTATTCGTTGGTAAAAAGAGTAGCTGCCTTCCCTCTAGTCTTTCACTGCTAAATTAGGAACGGCTAGAGCAGATAGCCCTCGTGTAGCTTTGCGCGATATTCAAATGATACAAAATCTCGGAAATAAAACATCATAGTGCGGTACTGAGAGCAAAATAAACTAATGTATGTATATATATATATATATGTTCGATATGGACTATTGATTTTGACTCGGGTTCTCTTGTAAGTGATCCGAGCAGGGGAAAGGTGGGAAAAGGGGATGGAGCTATAGTAGAGCAGTAAATTACGAACAAGAGCCCGTTTTCTTTCAGTTCGGTTTTATGTTCATGACGTCGGGAGATGAATGGTGAAAACGTGTCTTATTTCCCTACTTATTCCAATATTCCCTACTTATTCCAACCAATTTTGCGGATTTATCTTCCAATCGAAGATACGGTGTAAGGTTTTGTTAAAGTTTTGTTTCTTCTTCTTCTTTACCATCACATGTTAGCTGACAGTTATACTCAAGACACATAACAATGCGTATGTGATATGTCAGTTTTAATTCCAATAATTAGTTAATGCAAGGTTTTATTTTTAAATCATTTTTTTTCTTCTTTTCTCTGATTCTTTAACCCATAAGTTATGCATTAACGATACATCCCTCAAGCACGTATTGTCTTCGCGCATAACTAGCTATCTGCATTCTGTCTACCGGGAAGAATCGAATCCCGGATCTTAGCGCTCTAAGTCCGTATACTTTCCGCTGTTCCACAAGAGGACAATGGCAGATCTATAACATAATTCGAAACAAGTGTAATTATTCATAAGGACTAACAAATTCGTTTCATTTAACATCATATTAGGACAACTCTTTCTTTTGTAAAAGTCTGCAAAAAATATCAATAAAGTAGACACCTGTAATTGTGCTTCCATCAGTTCTATATACAGATAATACTATTAATTCATATCACAATGCTTATTTCCCACAGTTTAATAGATCCAGTTGAGTTTGATCAACATTATAATACTTCAGGGGCTCAAAAACTCATTCTCGTATTACGCAAGAAAGATTTCCCTTACTGTATTTCGAGTACCAGATTTATTCAATTTTCCCGGGAAATTTCAGCGGTCCTATCGCTGCCAATTAGTGATTAATAATTTTACAGATTATCACGATCTTTTGAAAACTATCACTTCTGCTCATCAAAGTGGGATACTAACGAACAACTTTATTATGGTGGCCGCCATTCGTTCACTCTTACTCCAACAAGAGCAGTACTCAGTGGAGCGCATACCTCGGCCACGCAGCTATGATAATATTCGGCCCTTAAAAGATACGAAAATGTGTCCGTATGTCCGTCGTTATCAACGAAAACGGATCATTTTTAAAAAGACAACGAGGAATAATATTCTACGTAAGTCCTCCAGGTTTCATCAAAATCCGATCATTTTTGACTGAGTTACAGAGTAAAAATTGTGTGAAAAATCCCTATCTGTAACCTTGCTGTGACCTTGATTCCCCCAAAAATAAGTTGGATCATAGTCCAAATGCATACCAACTTTCGTCCAAATCCATTCAGCTGTTTTCGAGAAACCTTGCTGACAAACACACAGGGGTCAAAACATGACCTCCGTCAACTTCGGTGGCAGAGGTAATTAATCCAAGCAGTATAACAGATCCTTGTATAGCATAGCACTGCGTCGTTAGTTTATGTTAACTTTTACAATTGCCATATTTACCATTGTTGTTACTTCTTTGTTTAAGTCTTATTATTACTGTGATCTTTCTCGTATATTGTTATCGCTTATATACTCCAACTAGTTCTTAAGGTTTAATTTGTTTTGTTTGAAGTTATGCACAAATCTACACAAGGGACTATCTGTGCTATGCCCACCACGGGTATCGAAACCCGGTTTCTAGCGCTGTATGTCCGCAGACATACCGCTGTTCCACTGGGGGTGGGTGGGGCTTAGTAAAGGGGAACAATGGGTGGGTTTCAATAACATCTGACTCACCATCTGCAAGATCCAAGACAACAACAGATTTTGTTGTCGAAGTAGAAGAAGCTTTCTTCTTTTCACTTATAGTTCTTAAGGTTTATTTACCACTTCTATCTCCAATCTCTGTAACTGAGCCCGTGTGTGTTGCGTAGCTAAAACCGGATTAGTTGATTTGTTTATCGTAATTAGATAATTATATATATATTTAGTGTGTATTGCGTGATTTAGTTATTCATATAATTTACTTTTATCTTCATAAAACATTAGTTTATTTCATGTATCGACTCGCTATCTGAATTTATAGCCAAACAACAACATGTGCTGTAGTAATTTATTTTAGGTATTAAGATACAAAGGTTGAACAAGATATATTAAAATGATTTTAGAGCCTCGTCACGTCGTTATAGTGTATTTCACCACGTCCACTCATGCTCTACTTGAAGACAGTGCATCTTATCAGTAGCTCTGCCACGTAGTTTCTATTACAAAAGGCTCCGTTTTAAAGCTTTCATGTCTAAAGCACATCATTCCTCCCTGCTTGTTTTTCATAATCCATGTTGTGTACGAAGACAACGGTTTCCAAGCGCCTGTTAAGACAGTCCAATCACACAAAAATCCACAGAAGCTACACCAGTGACTTATCCAGTATTTTTTTGATATGGAATAGCATGAATACCTATTTCATTCTCCAGCTGCTTGAGATATGCAATGGTTGAAATAGAGCTTTGGCTGGAAGCCTTATTTTGGTAAATCCATACCATGTTAGTCTCGTTTCCACATGGTGATCCTTCTTGATTGTAATGCATGCTGCAGCCTGGGGCTTGTGGACGGCTTTTATCACTAACCTGTTACAAGATACCACATTTTGTTTGCCACGGCTGTGGAACGACTTATTGTAGGTCTCTTTCTGAGTGGTCCTGGTCGCTGAAGCTGATACACATTCCTTTGTTTTCCGATGCCATTAAGTTGAAGGAATATCCCCATTATGGAAATTCTAAATCTCCGATTTGAACACATTTGTATAATCTTATTCTATGAATATGTTGCGTCGGAAACGGCTGTTACATACCCTTCTCAAAAGTTATCCATTTTCGATGGCATTACACTACCTACGAAAACCAAATAATGTCAAATGTATTTCTCATACACGACATTCCACAGCGGCTTTATATCGGAGATGTCACATGAATTGCACGTTTAAATATTCAATATCGTTTTAATATAACATATTCAACCCTCTTTACTTCAAAGTTAAACAGCTACCAAAGTGGGCTTTCATTGGTTGTTAGACGTTATTAAAAATGATGATGTAAAGTTTTGCGTACACTGCTGTAAACGGACAGAGAACTGACGATAAAGCTTGAAACAAAGAATCGTTTTTTTTAAGTAATTTCTATTCTATTCTTCTTCTTTTTTTTTTGCTGACAGTTTTGATTAAATCTTTTAATATAATACAGCCATTATACCGTTATCCTTTCTTATTATGACGATTATTGTGCATTATTATTTTAGCATATGGATATAGGACTAACTTTAATCTCTTAAACAGGCTTGAGATATTATTGGGATTACGGTCAAAAATATCGCTAACAGCGAAGATACCCAAATCACGAATTGTGAGCATTCGGCTTGGTGATTAAAGCGTTCGACTTCCAGTCTTAGGATCGCGGGTTCGAATCCTGTCACCAAGCACACTCGCCCTTTCAGCCGTAGAGTCGTTATAATGGGATGGTCAATTCCACTATTCGTTGGTAAAAGGGTAGCCGAAGAGTTGGCGGTGGGTGGTGTTGACTAGCTGCCTTCCCTCTAGTCTTACACTGCTAAATTAGGGACGGCTAGCACAGATAGCCCTCGTGTAGTTTTGCGCGAAATTTACAAAAAAATTATGTAGCGCAGATAAACAGTATTTTAAATAGTGTTCACATATTCCAAAACAAAATTATGTATATTTAATATCTATGTACATTTTACATGTATGTTGGCTTTCTAGTGTTGTAAATCCACAGACATACCGATGTGCCACTGGGGGAGTCCGGATTAATATACTATTGAAGAAACAAATAATTCCAAGAGAGGGCTTACATTATACTGTATAATTGTAGATCATATTGTCATTTAAAATACTTTTTCCAACATATTATAAACATTTGTGTTTCACTCAACCCCGCAAGACTGACTAGTTTATTTGCCAGTTAGACTTTAAGATAGCAAAACATGTTGTTCGTGATATTGTTAATAGAGCTATTTTACCCGATTAGGTTTAGAGGTGCCTTAAATGATATTAATTTCTATTTCGCAAGTATAACATATCACAAAAGTTCTTCAAGTTTAATATAAAGGGAAACAGAAGACGTAGAATGTAAACAGTAACACACTTGTTTTATTTACATTTTTTTGTTCCCTTTAGATTCGAAATGCGGTGTTCAACCTTTAAGACGTCTTGTATACTTATCGTGCTTTACTTCACTGCACTCGTAAAATCCAAATCAAACGAAGTAAATTCTGCCCTAGAAGAGGCACTTACAAACGCAAGAAACGAAGACGATCAAAAGAGAGATTGGAATAATCTTTCTGGAATGTGGGGCAAACGAGGATGGAATAATTTATCCGGAATGTGGGGCAAAAGAGGATCCAAGTGGAACAACTTATCCGGAATGTGGGGTAAAAGAGGCTCAAGCTGGAACAACTTATCCGGAATGTGGGGTAAAAGAGGATCAAACTGGAACAACTTATCCGGAATGTGGGGTAAAAGAGGCTCAGACTGGAACAACCTATCTGGAATGTGGGATAAAAGAAGTCCCAGTTGGAATGACTTGTCTGGCATGTGGGGCAAACGAGGTTGGAACAACTTATCCGGAATGTGGGGGAAAAGGAACACTAACTGGAACAACCTGAAAGGCCTCTGGGGCAAACGAGGAGACTCTTCTTTCAATGAAGGAGGGCCATCATGGAGAATCACTGATGCAGGTATTTAGTTTTTTTTACGTAAAACATTTATAATGACCTTCGTACAACATAAAACACTTATAATGACACTCGTACAACATAAAAAATTATAACCTAAAACATGTATAATGACCCTTGTAAACCCTAAAACATGTATAATGACCCTTGTAAACCCTAAAACATTTATAATGACCCTTGTAAACCCTAAAACATTTATAATGACCCTTGTAAACCCTAAAACATGTATAATGACCCTTGTACAACATAAAAATTATAACCTAAAACATTTATAATGACCCTTGTAAACCCTAAAACATTTATAATGACCCTTGTAAACCCTAAAACATGTATAATGACCTTCGTATAACATAAAACACTTATAATGACACTCGTACAACATAAAAAACTATAACCTAAAACATGTATAATGACCCTTGTAAACCCTAAAACATGTAAAATGA